TCATAACGGCCAGCAGCAGGCACAGCATCTCAGAGCTATCAGGGAGCAGGACGTTTCAGATTTCATTAGACATGCTCAGATTAACATCAGGCATCACCCTGCCCTATGACAGCAAACCAGCAAGCCAAATGGGCTCCAGCCTGTCCCAGCTGAAAGCATTTGGAGCTGGAAGTAGCAAGCTTCCCAAGAAATGCCCAAATGAAGCCATAAAACACCCAAGGGTATGATGAAGTGACAACACTTAGAGCACTAGTGACTAAGAACGTTTAATAATTTTTGAAACCAAGTACGCAGTGATTATCTCCATCTTCTGCAGAACCACACCAGTGCTATGCAGATAGGTGTATTTCATTAATAAAATGCATTTCTCTTTTCTTACTTTTTATAGTATTAAATTATAGTACGCAGCTCTCAAACTCCTCACCATTTCCAAGACATGTTATGTTACCTAATAACCATAACACTGCACGAGTATACAAAAAACCATATGTTTAGTTCTACATAGGCACACAGAAACAGACCCACGCCATTCAGTGGCGGACTTGGCGCACCATGTAACATTAGGTACCGAACACAGACACTTCACACGCAGGTGATGTGAAAGCCGCTTGCCAAGCACAAATTATGGTCCATGTAGGTAGTTTCTAATGTATGACTATCTGGATTGGACCACATGCTAAAAAGCATCAGTGAGAAGCCAATAAATCAGACTCCACTCAAGCTGATGGCTTGATAACTGTTATCCCAACCTGCATCCCAAAGAGGGGACACTGGAATATCGACTCAGAGGGATCTTTCAGGACCTCTCCCCCATTTTCTTCCCACACTGCTTAGGCATTTTACAGGAAGCAACAGGGAGCACACACAGCTGGGCCAGATTCCAGTGCTTGCACCTGCGCTCTCCCCAGGACAGAGCAGGTAAAGAGATAAGCTGGAGAAAGCCAAGGACTACAGGGAGACAACAGACAGACAAATAATGATGCAAGAAGCAAAGGTAAAGAGAAAAGCAAGAAAGAGCAATAAGGTTAACAGGGGAAAAAAAAGAAATGTAATAAGGTGATGGAGGAACTTAAACCAAACCAAAAGGAACACATTCAGTAAAGAACAGTATGCAGTAAATGAAAGAGTTCAGGAAAACACCCTGGAAAGTTTGGGAGAAGTCAAGTAACATGCTAGTTTTACAGCCTGGGAGTATCAGCACCTCACCTTTACTCAGCCAAGTCTAATTAATTCCTGCGTAATAAGCATTAAATGAATAATTAGTAAATTTAGGGAGAGCCCTATAAATTTGATGAGTAGAAGCAGGAGCCTCCAGCAATAGCTGTATCCAGTGGCAGGAACATTTGTCCTTTGTCACATCCCTTAGATTAAAAAAGACTAATATTTATATTGAATAAAACAGGTAGAAATAAAGACAGTAAAAGATAAACCTTCCTACAAAACCTGGACTTGGTTCTTCCATATTTCAGACAAGTGTCCTAACTAGCGCCAGTCTAGGAAGGATTCCTCTGTGCATTGTATTAACAAACCTGGGCAGGGGCTTCGCCTAGGTCTCCCAGGCATCTCCTAGACACAGTACGGCCCAAAAACAATGCAAATTTTGCAATCCAAAATACCTTGCTCTTTCCCTTTTTCTAAGCTCAAACAGATGAATCCAACCTAGACCCGAGTGTGCTTTGTTGAAACTAGTATATCCTCACAACGCATTCCCATTTGGATCTTCCGGCATTTCCCACCCAAATCATTTAGTCTACATTTTCTTAGTTGGCTCTATCACTGTGCTGAAAAGACAACAACTGACAGACAAGGGAAAAGGTCACACTGAACAAAAGGACTTGGTTCTGCAGGCAGTAATGGTAATACTGGGATCGGAGGTGGACGGGCTAGCACTTCATTTTTAAACTACAGTTATTCTGCTCACTGGTATAAAAATTCCAGGCGAGTTTATAGACAGTACATGTATTTTTAAGTTGGTTTTGGTTCAAAACCAATGTTAGGAAATGATGGGATACCAGCCTGTTAATAGGGTAGATTAAGCAACCTTGGTGTCCTGACAAAACAGCAGAACTAGAAACTTCATTCTGGATTTTTTCCAGCGTGTCTTGTTTCTTACAGCTTTTATAGTTCTGAAATACACAATGTAACTACAGCTGCCACATCCCCATCCAGTCCAGAAGTTGTTGCATTTATGGCAGAACATAAAAGTAACAGGTGAAATAGTTAAAATGCATGAAGTGGCTAGAGTCTTCCCCTGCAGAGCCCTCTAGAAGCCCTCAAGCCGATTTCTCTTTGTCAGAGGCTATAGGACAACATTAAATTGGCCACGAGAGGGCACCAAGAACATAGCTTGTGATTTTTATCTGCATGTCTTCTCTTACATAGTCTGCCAGTCTCCTCAACTTGAGTTGTCCGTAAATTAAACGGAAAAAACTGCATGCACGAGAAGGGAGAGGGCACCACACTTACATGCCATTTTCTTCATCTTTGAGAAGATGCAGAACTTCCCCCAAAAAACGTAACCTGACAGGTATACCCATCTATAGCTTTGATTATTTCTTTGAGACTTTTCAAAGAAACTGCTGGTACCATAATTACTAAATATTAGAATTTAGGAAAATTAAAAACCTGGTTAGAACAAAACTGATGTAAGCCTAAGACGCTAGTATAGAGTCTTCAGTCAAGCTCTACCGTTTTCATACCTTTTGGCATTTATTTATTATTAACATGCTGCGCAGGCTCCTGTGCTTATGCGGCTGCAAAAGCAGAAGCGGTACCTTCACTAGCGCGCGCCAGGAGCCTGCCAGCCCTGGGGACTCATGCTAGCGCGGTCCCCTGCCCCACCACCACACGGACACAAAAGCACGGGCACAACCAGCTTCTGCATTTTCAGCATGGCAGCATCCGGCATCACTAGGGCAGAGGACGAGGAGGAGGCAAGTCGCATCACTTCCCTGGCCTACAAGTTTCCTCTGAGGTTTTCTCACATTGCAGAGAATGAAGCTGACAAGTTCCCACTTTTAAAAGCACGTCACAAGAGCCACAGCGGCTGCAGGTTAGACCTAGCTAAGCGTCGCACAGAGATAAGCATGTAAAAGTAACCAGTATGACAACAGACGTCTATGCGGATGTGAATCCGAGCATCGTGGGCACGCTCT